CTACCAATCCCATAACTCGAAGCTCTAAACCGCCAGAACCTCTAGAAGCCCTAAACCCTAAACCCTAAACCCACTGGAAGCCCGAGCTCCCAAAGCCCCACGAAGTGCGGAAGTAGCCACGCCAGTGGGGGCATCACAAGGATCGGGCCTCAGACTTTCTCTGGGTTAGGGTTTAGGGTTTAGGGTTTAGGGTTTAGGGTTTAGGGTTTAGGGTTTAGGGTTTAGGGTTTAGGGTTTAGGGTTTAGGGTTTAGGGTTTAGGGTTTAGGGTTTAGGGTTTACCCTAAACCCTAAACCTTAATCTGGTTCTTAGTAGGGAATAAGGGAATTAGGGCCCCACATTTCACCTTTAAGGGATGATATAGGTTACCTCATTCCCTCAATTCCCTATGAAGAACCAGCCAGCAGACTAGGTTCCAAGATTGGGCTCATATAGGGTCTATATATGTTGTATGGCTGATACCTGAAACCCCGCCAAAGGAGCCCTAAACCCGACACCCTTTGAGCTTCTGCCTCCCCGGGGGTCTGTAGGGCTCATCGCGCTTTCTGTAGTTTGAGGTGAGTACGAGGGTCAACATGTTCTGAAGAAGTTTTTGAAGGGGTGTGGGGGAGGCCCCCCTAAACCCTAAACCCTAACCCTAAACCCTAAACCCTAAACCCTAAACCCCTGCTTCTCTGGCCTATCCTTGTTCAGAAGTGATGCTGCAGTAGGGGGCAGGGGGGGGCCCGAAACTTTAGGCACACTTTGAGAGGGCTATAGGTGCTGATGAAACCTCGTCTTGCACCCCCCAAACACAACCCCCCTAATTAGGGTTTAGGGTTTAGGGTTTAGGGTTCAGGGTTTAGGGTTTAGGGTTTAGGGTTTAGCCCCCTATATCGCCGAAACCAGCAAGCCCTGATCTTTCTCTCGGTTCTGCATACAGCGCGCACCATCACAAGACCTCTCCATCTGATCTGCCTCCCTGTGAGGAATGAAGGGGGCCCGCCCTGGAGCGGCCTACGGCAACTGGGCTGAGCACCCCTCAACTTGGTTTTTATTTTGGGGATTCAGTATAGTCCAATTTTTCTTGGGGACCACGCGGGAATAGTATAGTGTTTATTCCGACTTTGGTAGGCGCTGCTCTCGAGGTCAAGGAAAAATCTGGCGGCAGTTTGGCGGCCCCCCGTTCTCCCCTCCCGTTCTCCTCGGCTTTTGCAAATCGCGGTTCAACATGCCACTTCGCAGCTTCGCCCACTCTGCTTGGCAAAGGGCGAAACGCGGAAGCTCTCATACTTCCTCTGGGGACCGGACATGGGGCTCACTCCAGACTGACATCGCAAACGACCCTTCTTGCTACCATACACAGACCTAAGGTCCTAAGGTGCATTGTCGGGGGGTGACCCTAAACCCTAAACCTTATAAACCCTAAACCCTAAACCCTAAGCCCCAAAACGGCGAGCCTCTGGTCCGGCGCAAGAAGGCCCGGGACTCGCAAAGTGCACTTGCGCGAGTGTGCGCCCGCGTGCCACAGTCATGTCTTAGTAGGGGCCTGGGACTGTTTAGGGTTTAGGGTTTAGGGTTTGGGGTTTAGGGTTTAGGGTTTAGTAGCTAGTAGCTCCCTTCATTTGTTGGTATAATCCACAAAACTGTAGATAGAGACGGTCTCAGACACTTGGGGAAATTGGGTTATGCGTTCGGTTGCTTGGGGCGTAGGTTGCTGATTTTTAGTAGGGAATGACCTTAAGTTACTGGATCTTTGTAGGGAAAATCTCCTAAACCCCCTGACAAGAATTTCATCCTCTTAAGCCCTATGAGGATACATGTAAAAGTATCCCAAGAGCCTGCACAGTCTAGGGATTGGGGTTGAGATGCTCCCCTTATACTAACAGTCCTTTATAGGGATTTGGCTTCCGGTTCAGGGGAGGGGGAAGAGAGGGTGGGGGGGGGGGGGGGCCGAGTCTAGGGTTTAGGGTTTAGGGATAGGGGTTTAGGGTGCCATTAGGTTTCTGCACGGTCGACGTGGGCATGCATCCGAAGACAGTGGCTAGCCAATGCCATGCGCGTGCCGTGGTTCAGTGGGTGAAACCTTAAAAGGCGAGACCCCAGCTGTTAGCTCATCCCAGGGTCCATGGGTTTAGGGTCTAAAATGGCTTGAGGTGTAGGGTGTCTTCAGGATATCCTAAAACTATAAACCCTTTTTTAAAAGCTGGACTTACTGGCTGCCGATGGCCAGAAACTTCCCTAAGCAAAGTTGGGGAGGAATCGGGTGGAGGAAAGCGAGCCTAAGACCATCCCAGTCTCTTGAGCCCGCTGTCATGCATGGCATGGTACGTGCACAACAGTGCGGTACTATGGCTTATGGCTTAGGGGGTTTAGGGTTTAGGGGCTAGGGTTTAGGGGTTAGGGTTTAGGGACGTTAAATGGGCCTTGAGGGCTTGCTACTCTGGCCAGAGGAGTCGAGACCCGAGCGACAACGGCTTGCGTGCCGTATCTGCTTGGAACTCGCCGGAGTCTGCAGTTCTGTGGAATGTATGTGCGCCCCACGAAGAAGTGGAACTGGAAATTACTATAGCCAGGGCATGTCGCGTGCATGAGCTCCTAAAAGCCTATTATTATTAAATATTTTATATAAATATTCACGTATCTCAATTTTACAAAATAATTCATAACTTCAAACCCCACCAACCCTGTCAATTGAGTAAACGTTAGGTGCCCTTTTTCGGTTGACAGGGGCTTGGAAGGGACCCAAACCCTAAACAAAAAGGGAATAAGGGCCTACGCCGAGTCCTAGCCCTAAACCCTAAACCCTAAACCCTAAGCCCTAAACCCTAAACCCTAAACCCTAAACCCTAAACCCCAAACCCTAAACCCTAAACCCTATCATATCAAACCCCCCTTTCTCTGGTTCTGCGACATGCCCGGGCACTCGCCCAGCACAGCCGGTACTCATTGCTACAGAAGCAAGCTTCGGAGTGGCAGACTCCGCCCCAGAAGGGGGGGTGTGATTTAGGGTTCTTGGGGTGTAGGGTTTAGGGTTTAGGGCTTAGGGTTTAGGGTTTAGGTTTTTGTCAGGTTCGAAGGGTTTTTGGGTTCTTAGAAGGTTTTTGGGGTCCCCTCTTCTCTCCCTGTCGCTGGGTGGCATTCCGCACAAGCTGCTTCGCTGAAGCCTGCGAAGTATGGGGGATCATATTTTCTCCCCCACATTTCGCAGCACTTCTCATCAGGCCCGGATGTCGCCACGCTCCACAAACCTGGGAAAAAGTGCTTCGTGAAGGTTCTTGGAGGGGGATTCACGCGAACAGACGATGTAACATAAAGCCCATGGCCAATATCACCTTCCAAAAAATTCTCAAACTCAAAAACGCCCACACCATTAAGCCTCAAACAAGCTTGTGAACCCCCAACATAAATGAAAGATCATCACGGAGGAGCGGTTCGTAAAGCATATAGTATTCTGTTCAACCCTACACTTTTGGGTAGCATTTAAACCACCCGCCCCCCCTCCCACCCCCACCACCCAAACAAATAGAAGCCATGAACGCCCTCCTAAACACCCACCCCAAACCCCCTAAACCCCCTAAACCCCCCAATCCCCCTCATCCCCCTCATCCCCCTAAACCCACTAAACCCCCTAAACCCCCTCAACCCCCTCAACCCCCTCAACCCCCTAAACCCCCTAAACCCGAAACCCTAAACTTCCCCTAAACCCTAAACCCGAACCCTCCCCCCCCCACCCCCCCTAAGCACCCTAGAAAACACCCAGGGACGCGCCCAACTTCGGGAGAACGAAATCCGGCTGACGAATCGGCTGGCCAGACTTCAACTCCTCTAGGGTTTAGGGCCTAGGGTTTAGGGCTAGGGTTTAGGGTTTGGGGTTTGCGGTTTGGGGTTTAGGGTTTAGGGCTAGGGTTGAGGGATTCGGGTGTAGAGCTTAATTCATGTTTGTGCTTTTTTGGGGGGCAAGGGGGGGCCGGCGGCAGGAGCGGGGGTTTGGAGTTGTGGGGGGGTTTACGACTGTGTCACAAGCCTTTGCTAACATGCTCAAATAAAAAATACGCTGTCACAAGTCTTCATGCCTGTTTGCGAACATGCTCAACAGACTGCTAGGTACGGCGTTCAAACAAACTTCAGTAACTATCCATGTTCCGAAAACTGCTCTAAACATCTAGTGACTTGCCATGACCAATGCTCAAAACATCGTAGAAAAAAGATGAATCAGACCTTGAATGTTGCTACCCTGACCAAACGTGGCACCAAATACGTGACACGCGCCTATTAAGAGGAGGCCCCTCGCAGCTGACGGCACCAAAATGCCTACTGGGAGGTTCATGGTACTTATTAACCAACTGAAAATGTACTTTTATCTGTACTTATATATAACCATATTAGGGCACTTAAGGGGCTTATAAGTGGGTTACAGGTACAGGTAATTTTTGGTTAAGAAGTACCATGAACCTCCAAGTAGGGTTTATAGGGTTGGGGGACTTAAGTTCAGGGTTTCGACTCTCCTGCGCGTGCGCTACAGTTCAGGGTCTAGGGTTTATGGCTTGGGGACATAATAAATTCAGGGCTTATGGTTTAGGGTTCAGGGTCTTAAGTTCAGGGTTTAGGGTACATATCTGCGTGCTTGAAGACTGGGCTGGTGGCCAGTTGCAGGGCTTGCGGAAGGGAATGTGTATACCTTTCGTAAGAACCCGAATGTTTTGTAGGTTGTGATTCTAGAACCCCTTGCAGGATTTCTAGTTCACCTACGAAAAAGTAGGTTTTGGGGTTCCCAAGGAATTGGCACAAGGAAAGTTCTTCCCCTTGGTTAATGGTGATGCGAGTTGTTCCATGGTACTTATTAACCAAGTATAACTGTACTTCTGACCCACTTCTATAAGGCCCTTAAGTGCCCTAATATGGTTATGAGTACAGTTATTATAAGTACAGCTACAATTGTATCATGAACCTCCAAGTAAGTACTTCGGTACTTCCAAGTACTTGTATTGTTGGGTGGTTACGACGGTGGTAGTTGACCTCTACTGCAGGTGCCGCACTGCGCCTCCGTTGATGTAGTATGTCTTCTGACTCTGAGCATGCCATAGAAATCCGAGTAGAATCCCCATAACCCACGCTTACTCACCCTAAACCCTAAACCCTAGACCCTAAACCCTGAACCCTAAACCCTACTTCTGAGTCACAAGGGCTTCCCCAAGTAACCCAAAAATGCTACACGGCGCTGGCTCCTCGTCCAGCTCTTCCTTGGACGTCACGCCAGTCAGGACCAAGAGCGTCCTAGGGCGGCGAAACTCTCAACCCAGTAGGGTTTAGGGTTTAGGGTTTAGGGTTTAGGGTTTAGGGTTTAGGGTTTAGGGTTTAGGGTTTAGGGTTTAGGGTTTAGGGTTTAGGGTTTAGGGTTTAGGGTTACCGCAAACAAGCCTGGGGATGCTAGTCTTACTTCTTCAACAGCCTTCAAAGAGGATAACTCAACTCTATGACTACTGCAAAATAAGGCAAAAAAAAGCTTGAAGTTCAACTACTTGCCTATAGAAAATAGGATAATTCAACTATATGATTTCTGCAAGGTGAGGCAAAAAAAAGCTTGAAGTTTCAACTAGTTGGCTATAGGTAAACGCTACGCGCCTAAAGGGTAGTCTCTCATGATTCTTTGCTAGGAAACGTGGTCTTGAAGCGGAAGGGCACAGAGACGTTTAGGGTTTAGGGTTTAGGGTTTCGGGTTTAGGGTTAGGGCTTCTACCACTTGCGGATAGATTGCAGCCAAAACTGCCAAGTCCTGTGTGACGCTTTCAGGGCAAGACGCCGATCTTCACTTCGGGTTGCATGTGAGGAAAGGCATAAAGCCCCAAACTACACTCAGGGGTTACAGTGGGTGCTTCCGGTTCAGGTAAAACACGGATAAGCCTACAGGCAGCCAAGCGTCTTCATGCCTGCCGCGTTCCCAAAAACGATGTCTGTCTGAAGCGTGTCGCCGACCTCGCCACTGAGATATCCCTCGAAAACATTGCTTCTGCTGGACAATTGCTTCGATGCACTTCCCAAACCCTAAACCCGAAACGCCAAACCCTAAACTCTAAACCCTAAACCGCTAACCCTAGACCCTAACCGCGACGTGACGAGACTAGACCTGGCATCACGTGCGTGCGAACGACGCAGGGGTTCGACCAGGAAAGGCACAGTGATGGCTCAATGCCGGCCGTTTGAACTGCAATGAGCCCTAAACCCTAAACCCTAAACCCTAAACCCTAAACCCTAAACCGTTCATCCAACACTTTGAGCTGATCGGCCCAAGCCCTGAACTGTGGAGCCAAGACCTGCCAGGAGGCTTCTGGAGGGTCCGGATTTTGCGGATTGGAGGGGCATGCAATACACACACACACACACACACGTACATACATATATATATGTGTGTGTGTGGAGTGAGAGAGAGAGAGAGTGAGACATGCATGCATGCGTGCATACATTACATTACATTACATTACATTGCATTACATTACATTACATTACACAATACATTACATTGCATTACGTAACATTACGATACATTACGTTGCATTACGTTACATTACATTACGTTACATTACGTTACATTACATTACATGTATGTGATTACATCTGTTCCAGAGCTCGGCTGATCTCAGCACCGGGCCATCAATGTCTTGCTCACATCCACGTTGTACGTCTGAGGGCTTCGGAGGAGCCGGATCAAGGCCTGCCACTTTAGGGTTTAGGGTTTAGGGTATCATGGGTATCATGGGTTTCCGTACAACCCCCCTGATGGGTTCCCAAATTGTAAATTAAGGCGATTTAGGGATAGTTCAGCCTAGTTACGGGTATTTAAGGGGGGGAGCCTAGCGGGGGTAGTTTGAATAGAGGGGGGTAGTAGGGAAACCCATGATCATAGGGTTCTTAAGGGTGGAGGGTCCAAGGGCGCATGTAATCCAAGGTTCCCGAATACTCCGCACTACTCCCCAAGGCTCCCGACTAAACCCTAAACCCTAAACCCTAAACCCTAAACCCTAAACCCTAAACCCTAAATCATACCTTAGCACCCTCGTAAACCCTTTTTGCATCCAGCCTTGGGGAGTGTCGGCCCTCCTAAACTCTAAACCCTAAAACCGAAAACCCTAAACTACTAATTGCTTAAGAACCCCGAAATAATAAATATATTCTTCCTTTATTCAGGGTAATATTGGGATTATTTGTTTTAAATTCTTTTGGGATTCTTTAGCAAATAGTAGTAAACCCTAAACCCTCGTTAATCTTAAGCCCGAAGCATGAGCGCAGGCATGTCCACTTTGGCCAGGCACCAAACTCCACGACTTCTCAAAGCCTGAACCCCTCCGCCCAACTTGTAGGTTTAGGGTTTAGGGTTTAGGGTTTAGGGTTTAGGGTTTAGGGTTTAGGATTTAGGGTTTAGGGTTTAGGCTAAGTCTTATAGGGTTCTTAAGGGAGGGTGGGGTTCAAGGGGGGCGTATGTAACCCAAGGTTCCCGAATACTCCCTACTACTCCCTAAGGCTCCCTAAGCATCCCAAAGGTTCCCAAGGTACCTACCCCCCCAGGAACCCCCCATCCCTTCAGAACAGGTTTAGGGTTTAGGGTTTAGGGTTTAGGGTTTAGGGTTTAGGGTTTAGGGCTTAGGGCTTAGGGTTTAGGGTTTAGGGTTTAGGGTTTAGGGTGAAACCCCTGAAGCCTTAACCCTCCAAAACCAAAGATTACCGAGATTACATTGTACTGTTCCCTTTCCCTGAGGTTTGCAAAAACAAGGCATAATCCCTAACGACTAGTGACTAGAGGAACCCTCCCCTCAAAGTCCAAAAAACAGGCCTCCGATGGCTTTCCCATGTCCTCCAGCCATGCATGGGGTGTGGTTTAGGGTTCAGGGGGGTTTAGGGTTTAGGGTCGAGGGTTGAGGGTTTAAGCTTGAGGCTTTAGGGCTCCACACAAAGGCATCCTGGGCAGCGGACAAGTTCAGGTTGAACCCCCCAAAAGTCGAATCACCGGAGTGCCGACCGCCCAAGTGCATCGGAACATAGAGACTCTCAAGAATGCCCAGTGCCCACACCCAGATGAGGAGCCCTGGGGCACTAAGGTTTAGAATGCGTTTGCTCGTGGGGTCTTTGCAAAGACAGCAGGATAGATTAGGAACCAAAAGCCTTACTTTTTTGTAGGTTCCCAAGGGGTTTCCATGATCATCACCTGCTATGGCTTTCAACACCCATCCCCAACCTGCAAACCCCGAACCTGAAAGCCTGAAACCCAACCTCACGCCCTGCACCCCCCTCCCCCCCCAAAAAAAAAATTAGAAAAGAGTAAGAAGAAAACCCACCCAAAACCCCTCTACCCTAAACCCTAAACCCTAAACCCTAAACCCTAAACCCTAAACCCCAACAGCCCTGGAAACTCTAGTCCCTCATCCCTGAACCCTCATCCCGAAACCCCTCGCCCTATAAACTCTCATGCCCTGAACCCCGAAACCCCTCAAAGACCCCGGCTTTCCGGCTGCAAACCCTCAACCCTTGAACCTTGAACCCTAAACCCTAAACCCTAAACCCTTGAACCCTCAACCCCTCGAAGCCCAGGCCTTCCAGCCCCAAACCCTAAACCTTTAAATCCGAAATGCCTCAAAGCCCCAGGCCTTCTAGCACCAAACCCTAAACCCGCAAGCCCTCAACCCGAAATCCCTCAAAGCCCCAAGAAACCCCTCAGAGCCCCAAGCCCTCCAGCCCTAAACCCTGAACCCTAAACACAAACCAGAAACCCCTCAAAGCCAGACACTTAAACCCTAACCCCGAAAACCCTTCAAGACCCGAGACCTTCCAGACCTAAACCCTAACCCCTAAACCCGAAACCCCTCAAAGCCAAAAGCCTTCTAGCCCCAAACCCTAAACCCTAAACCCTAAAACCCTAAAACCCTAAAACCCTAAAACCCTAAAACCCTAAAACCCTAAAACCCTAAAACCCAAAAACCCAAAAACCCAAAAACCCTAAAACCCTAAAACCCTAAAACCCTAAAACCCTAAAACCCTAGACCCTAAACCCTAAACCCCTCCAGGCCTTCCAGACCTTTGGGGGGTCAAAGCTTCGCCCGATGATGTCGGCCATGGCCCCGTTTCCAATGGCCCGGACCTGGCGTTGCTTTGGGGGTTTAGGGTTTAGGGTTTAGGGTTTAGGGTTTAGGGTTTAGGGTTTAGGCGGGCTTCGGGTTGGGGATGTTCATCTTGGGGTAGTTCCATGGGCCCTTTATTGGGGTCCTTAACTGGGGTAGCCCTTATACCCCTACAAAATCCCGAGGGCCCATACTTCAGGATGCTTGAAAGAAGAGTTTAGAGTTTAGGGTTTAGGGCACCATGTAACCTCCCCTAGATGTTTATGGTGCAGGGCGTTTTGGGGCTTGGAGGTTTAGGGGGTTTGAGGGGTCTTAAGGTGGCACCCGTGGCCATGACCCCCCGTGCATGAGCTTCTCCCATGTATGCCTTGGAGTCAGTCAGTCTTTCTACATCATTAACACTTTCTTCAGGATGACAGAACCCTACAGCAGGGGGCCCCAACCCCCTCAAGTACCATGTAGCTAGAGCTCGTACGATGACAGGGCCTCGAGAGCATGAACATCAACTGTGGCCCCTGAAGTCTCTTAAGGAACCATATCTACTCTCACCAAGACTCGTAAACCCTGCCTCACTAGCCTCAAGCACAAAGCCTTGGGGCAGGGTGCCGCCGGTTGGTTATGCAACTCCTTTAACCCCTTGAGGAATAGTCCAAAAAAAGGTCTTCTTAACCCCAAGAGAGGGAAATAGGTTCTAGGGTTTAGGTTTTCATGTAATGACAAAGGGCCTCCGAAAACCCTAACCTAAACCCTAAAGAACCCAATGAGTTTGGGGTTTAGGGTTAGGGTTTAGGGTGTGTATGACAGGAGGGCCTTCAGCTCTTGGCCCATGTGCACGGTCTTTCCAAGCACGCCGCCCGTGTCGCTGGAGCAGGCAATGAGAGGGAGCTCCTAGACGTCTCAAGCTTTTTGGGGGTTTGGGGGCTTCTGTTGAGGGGACTCATGGGGCTTCTGCTCCAAGACGGCTCAAAAACTGTTTGTTTGGGGCTTCTGTTGAGGGGACTCATGGGGCTTCTGCTCCAAGACGGCTCAAAGCTTTTGATCAAAGACCGTTTCTTAAGGTGAGCCGGCGCAGCTTCTTGTCGGTTTCGGGGCTAAACCCCAACACAAGCAATCTACCGAGTTCCTACATGTTCATGGCATGTCTACGTGCAGTCGCACGTTTTGGCCATCTGTCCCTGGGGTTCTTTAAGAGTTGAAGTTTCGACGGTGGTTGTCCCAATTCTTGGCGAGCAAGCAACTGACGCATGGAGCCTGTCTAACTACACCCTCTCATGAAGCTACCCTGTTCATTTTCGCACCCGCGCTTCGCCGGAGTCGAAAGTTTATCCTCTACTCAAGCGCCAGAAACACGCCCCAAGCTTGCCGAACAAGTCCTCGAAACCCCTAAACCCTAAACCCTAAGCCCTAAACGCTAAACCCTGAACCCTAAACCCTACAAAGTCCTAGAGACAGGGCTCCTGGTAGCCGGCCTTGCCAGAGTGCAGGTCTTCGTGCCATTTGATGTAGTTCCTTGGCTTTGCGACGGGTGGCTCTGCTTCAACTCGGGGTTTAGGGTTTAGGCTTTAGGGTTTAGGGTTTAGGGTTTAGGGTTTAGGGCTTTGCGACGGGGGGCCGTGGGCTTTTGCATTCCGCTGCCGACGTGACGGCCCCTATCCGAGTTCCTGTGAAAAGCGGGCTTTATTTCTACACACACATGATATGTGTATATATATATATATATAAATCCATCCATACATACATACATGCATGCATACATACATACATACAAACACACAAACACACAAATACACATACACACAAACACACACACACACACATTCATACATACATGCATAGATGCATACAATGAACATGTAGACGGCACATGCTTGTATGTACTTACAGATCTAGTGGGCACCGGGAGGGGACCAGAGTTCGGAGAACTGCTCGTGTACAAAACATGTGCGAAGAACTTCCTGCTGTTCCTGGTCAAGACACAACAACACAATTGCATATGCACACATCGATATAAATATAAATAATTAAATATATATATATATACACATGTATATTTGTTTCTGTATGTGTATGTAGATACTTTTGTAACCAAGCAAAAATGTTAATACTAATACGAGTATATATACAGACATATATATATATATGTATGTATGTATGTATGTATGTGTGTGTACATAGATTAACATGTATGTATTGCATTGTTGCATCCTGTAGACTCTGGGAACTGGCTCCGCCAATCCTGGTCCTAAACCCGGGAGTGCTGTGATCACGGCGCTGTCGTTCTCTCTTGGTTCGTGTTTAGGGTTTAGGGTTTAGGGTTTAGGGTTTGGGGTTTAGGGTTTAGGGCTATTGTACGTGGCTGCTGAAGTCCAGTTTCCAACCCTAAATCTCAACCCAACCCTCTGACCCCGTACCAGAAAAAGGGTTGGACTTCTTTGCCTTCTGACTAGTAAGCCTTACATCCCCTCTTTCAACTCTATAGAGCCCAACCGAATGCCAGGATTGTAGACCCAAGAGTAACCTAGGAATAGAAAGGGTTACCTTTTTGGTACAAAGGGGCCTATAAGGGAACCTAGACCCTGCGACAAGGGAATGAGGGCCAATCCGGGGCCCTAGGATTTGTGTGATTTGACATTCACAGGACAGAAGTACAAGAGGCGAGACTTGAAAGAAAAACAACGCGGGCGTTCGGAACGGTTGCCGCTGAGGGGCACTGCTGCTGCAACCTGCGGCCGGGGCTGTAGGAATTGGGCTAAGGTTTTGGGGTTTAGGGTTTAGGGGGTCTCAAGGGTTGAGGGTTGAAGGGTACACGGCTTATAGAGGGTGTAGGGGTAAGGGCTCTAAGGCTTTAGGGTCAGTTCTCTACACATTTTTGGGGCGCCAGTTGCTATTGTGTGATTTCTAAATCCTGCTTAACAAAGATCCAACCTTCCTGTCGCAGAAGAGAACAAGAGAGAGAATGAGATAGATAGAGAGAGAGAGGAGACGAGGAGAAAGAGTGAGCTGTAGGTTCAGGATCTACAGGCTATAGGTTTAATGTTTGCAGGGTCTGAAGCTCAGTGCTTATGCAGTTGCTATACACAGCCCAGGGTGTCTACGGCGATCTACTAGTCGCTTAAGAACCCCAGAGATTCCTTTAGCAAATCCCTATCTGGCATTATAAGGAAGAATTGTGCTACTTTGTTGGGGTTCTTATGCAAACAGCAGCTATGCGTGCATCCCGAGCCACTGAACATCCTAAGCCCCATCGCCACAAGAAACCATTCCGCTCGCGCCTTTGAGGCCGTCAGTTGCATGTCCCAGCCAACCACCTGACAATAGAGCCTTATACCCTAAACCCTAAATCCTACAGCCCTCTCATCCAGGCCTCTGAGACTGCCGGGCACTGCGAAGTCAAAGCCATACACCCTGAAACCCTGGCCCTGAACCCTAAACCCTAGCCCTAAACCCTAAACCCTAGCCCTAAACCCTAAACCATAAATGTCAGGGTTTAGGGTCCAAAGGGTAGAGAGCTAAGGATCCCAAGCTAAAGAACTCATCCCCGAAGCCTTGAGGGCACACGCGTACGCTTAATGACCTCTTTTAGGGTCGTAGGTTTTAAGGGTTTGGGCTTTAGGGTTCAGGGTTTTCGGGATTTGGGGTCTTGGGGTTTTCGGGTTTAGAGCCGAGTGCTTGGGGAAAACCCGCAGCCACGAGAAATCCAAGAAATCAGAAGATCCACGAACCCCCCAATACGTTTAGGGTTGACGTTTAGGGTTTAGGGTTAGGGTCTAGGGTCTAGCGTTTTTGTAGGGTTTAGGAAGCCCCGAGCCACACGCCAAACACCTGCAACGTTGGGCTCTAGAGGTTTCTGATCTACCATTTGCTTCAGAACCCCCCCAACAAATGGGTAACATAGGGGTGTTTATCTTCCATAATATTTTTGGGTTTTCTTCAGCAAACAGTAGCCCTCAGCCCCTAGACCCTAAACCCTAAACCCTAAACCCTAAACCCTCTTTTTCGCAATGAGTCGTCATGTTTCACGTGCAACCGGGCCACAATGGCGTCCACGTGTGGTCGTGCTTTGATGGCGTCTACTGCGGCCATCATGTCCTGGAGCGTTTTATGAGGGTTTAGGGTTTAGGGTTTAGGGTTTAGGGCTAGTTCGTAGGGTTTAGGCTTTCGGGTCTAGGGTTTAGAGGCCTACTGGCTGAGTAGGACATGAAGGGCGCACCTTATATCCCCCCTATGTCTATCCTTTAAGGAGGATATCAGGAACCTATGTCCCTAAACCCTAAACCCTAAACCCTAAGCCCTAAACCCTAAACCCTCAACATTCCCTACTCAGAACCAGAAGGTGTGTAGGGCGTGGGGCTTCGAGTTCAGGGTTGAGGTGGTGTCGAGTCCAAGGTTCAGGGTGCCCCCCCCAGGCTCTGAAAGCCTCCTGTCCAGGACGGTTTAGGGTTTAGGGTTTAGGGTTTAGGGTTTAGGGTTTAGGGTTTGGGGTTTAGGGTTTAGGGTATGAATCATTATGCGACGGGCAACATACAACCTGACATGCTGTTGCGGGTGCTTTTCGTCTTGAGTACGATGTATTCGCGAGCCTCCATGCACGAAGCCGAGTGAATCGCGCTTCTCTGGGCAGCAGAACTCTCGCTTCAAAAGCCCGGGTGGTGCCATACCGACTGGAGGAAGAGACTTGGAGGTTCATGGCCATTATTAACAAGTTTAACTCTGCTTCTAAATCCACTCTTTTTGTTGCTTTACCATCTTAGGGCACTGAAGGGACTCAAGGGGCCTTCTAAGTGGGTTGTAAGTAGGAGTAAGTCGTACTTGGTTTACAAGTACTATGAACCGCCAAGTAGGACGACATCAGGAGTCTTTGCAGCCCAAGAGCTAACTACTGCAGCTTACTTTTCAGGGCTCATACCCGGATAGACCGAGGATGCTCGTTATAACTGCAGGACTACGATGGTGATTTTTTCATATCCATCCCGCAAAAAAAGAAGGGTTAATGATTCATGAAACTCCTGGGCTCATGTTTAAGCTTTGGGGTTTAGGGCTTAGGGCTTTAAGGGGGTTCAAGGTTGAGGTTTCCGACGAGCGGCCAGCTTCTCGAAATGGGGAGCCGTCTTGCCATTGTCGTCGATGGTCGCGAAGTAGTCCGTAATGCCTGCTCCCGCAAGTTGCAACGTGGCGTCTCCCTGTCTTTACACTCCTTGTGGGCAGAGGCCCTTTTGGCTACAGCTGATACATTGATCTCAAGTGCATTCGAACTCAACTCTAGCACGAACGTCTACGAGGGCTTGTGAACAAAACGAGCTTTGCTACCTGTACTCATAATACACCCTAAACCCTAAACCCTAACCCTAATGTGGTTCTAAGTACAGTTACAGGATCTCAGGTGAGAGCTTCGGCGTGCGTGTCACCGCGCCATCTCAAACCCACTCCGCCGTCGAGCCCGCTGGGCAGGAAACCCTAAACCCTAAACCCGAAACCCTACACCCTAAACCCTCCTAAACCCTAAACCCTAAACCCTAAACCCTAAATACTAAACCCTAAACCCTAAACCCTCAAACCTAAACCCTCGAGTCCCTCAACCCCTGAACCAGGCCTAGGAGGCGGCATTCCTCCAGCAAGCCGGTGTCTGAGGTGATAATGAACCTGGGGTTTAGGGCGTTCAGCTTGCGATTCAGCGTTTAGGGTTTAGGATTGAGGGTTTAGGGCTTCTTGTGCAGGGTTTAGGGTTTAGGGTTTAGGGTTTAGGGTTTAGGGTTTAGGGTTTAGGGTTTAGGGTTTAGGGTTTAGGGTTTAGGGTTTAGGGTTTAGGGTTTAGGGTTTAGGGTGCAGGGCTAGGGTCTAGGCCTAGGGTTTACGGTTTAGGGTTTAGGGTTTAGGGGCACGCGTGCCCCCCCTTCTCAGCAAGTCACAGTCCAGCCTGGGTTCACCGGGTTCACCCTAAACCCTAAACCCTAAACCCTAAACCATTCGGGCCGGGTTTAGGGCGACATTGACTTGGGGATTTTGGTGAGCCCTGAACCCGAGCCCTGAACCCTAAACCTTACCAGGAGGCGGCCGCTTGAGCTTCATGTTCTGTAAGTAGGCCGCGGTCGTGTAAGATGCGCTGATCATCCTCAGAACAACGGTATAGGGTTTAGGGTTGAGGTTTCCTGCACCCCCGTGATTGGGCCTGTCCGAGAACTAAAAAGGCTGCATTCTCCTCACCTCACCCTAAACACCGTAAACCCTAACATCCCCAAACCCTAACCCTAAACCCTAAAGCCTAAACCCTAAACACTAAACCGTAAACCGTGACCCTAAACCCTAAACCCTAAACCAATAAAAGTGATAATCTGAGGGCTGAGTGGATGGCTGAGCATGTCACGGTCCGAGAATCCACCCAAAGCCTGCACCAAAAGACCACAGCCTGAAACCTAATTTAGATTAGGGTTTAGTGCTTAGGGTTTAGGTTTTAGGTTTAGGGGTTCGGGTTTAGGGTTTGGGGTTTGGGGTTTAGGGGTTCGGGTTTAGGGTTTGGGGTTGTAAGGTTAGGGCACATGTACCTCATTATTGTACACTTGCGCCCCAAAGTCCCTATAAAGGAGGTGCTTTAAGGCCCAAATATTTTTAGTACATGGACCCTTAGGGTAGAGTTTAAGGTTCACAGTAAGCTCCAAAACGTTGGAACATGGTTTGAGGAGGATTATAGCTGGGATTCCCTCTACTTGGGCTGCACTTAGGAGGGTAGCTATAAATTAAACTTTTAGCTACCTTATTAAGAAACTCAATAAACCCAAAAAGGCTAAGGATCTAAAGTTACAATAGAGCACCACAAAGTCTAGTAAACCTATAGTATACCTCTTGGGGCATGGGGATGAGCTTCTTGGAGTTCACTGTAAGGGTTAGGACCCGGAACCCGAAACCCCACACCCTGCTAAGCCCTAAACCCTAAACCCTAATCCCTAAACCCTAAACCCTAAGTCGCGAGTGGACATCCAAGGCACATGCTCAGCTTCTCCTCGTGGCTCCTCGATCCGAAGCTGATGCCTGCACTGGGTTTAGGGTTTGGGGTTGGGGGTTGAGGGTTTAGGGTTTTGGGTTTAGGGTTTAGGGTTTGGGAATTAAGGTTGGGCTGAGTGGGCTTTGACATGGGTTTTGCTTAGGAGCTCGTTTGACTTTGGTAAGTCTACAACCGTTAAACCCTTAACCTACACCCTAAACCTTTTTATTTGCTTTAGGTCCCCTAAACCCTAAACCCTAAACCCTAAACCCTAAACCCTACTACAATCCCCAGAACCCACCTTACTAAGCCTACTTACTAAGTCAAGCAGGCGCTTGTTGGGAGCCTTTGGGCGAGGGGCGGGGGCGGGGGATTTGTTCATGCAACCTCTGCGGCCAAAAAGGCTAACCCTAAACCCTAAACCCTAAACCCTAAACCCTAAACCCTAAACCCTAAACCCTAGAGCCCCAAGCCCTAGAGCCCCAAGCCCTAAGCCCCACAAAAGTCCTAGTCCTCGACTTCCTGGGGCCTTCACTAGGATGGTCCTTAAAACCCTGTGAGCCCTCCGCAAAACATTCCTAACAATGACCTTCTTAAACCACTTCGGGAAAATACAACAACATCCCAAGACCCTACCTAGAACCCTGTTAAAGCAAGCCTGAAGGGGCGAAGCGCCCCCCCTAAATCATCCCTGAGCCATTTTTTTTGGGGTTCAGGGCTAGCTAGACGGTTAGACCCTCAAACTCCCTGCTGCTCTGTGCGAACTGCGCGCCTTTCCCTTCCAGCTGTTGAAGGAACTGGGCGCGCGTTTTGTTGGAGTTGTTGGTTACCTGAGTCGTGCAGCGCTGTCCCAGAGGGGAGGTTTCAGGGTTTAGTGTTTAATAGGCTTAGGTTTACTAGAGCCCAAGGGTAACCTAGGAATAAACAAGGGGGCTCTTTTTTGGTTTAAAGGGGCTTATAAGGGAAATGAAGCCCTAAACCCTAAACCCTAAACCTTAAACCCTAAACCCTAAACCCTAAACCCTAAACTCTAAACCCTAAACCCTAAACCCTAAACCCTAAAGAAAGGTAATAAGGGTCTACTCTGGGTCCTTGGAGGGGTCGGGATGTCGAAAGCTTGTAGTATACAGGTCGGAAGAACTAGTAATTGGAATTCCCTTATGGTCCCTATATGATCTTGCTATAAGAACCCCCCCAAGAACACTACGCGAATTCCCTAAACCCTAAACCCTAAACCCTAAACCCTAAACCCTAAACCCTAAACCTCTTAAAAGGCCCTTATCGTAAGGATGCAAGGGACCGTGAAGAGGCGCTCGGTTCGACAGTTCTTTGTTAACTTCCTCAATGCCAGAAGGGTCTCGCCGTGTGCTGAACAGATTCTGGCTGGCAGCTGGGTGCATATGCATACATATATATACTCATCTATATAAGTCTATATTATATGTATGTGTATATGTATATGCATATGTATATGTATATGTATGCATCTATTTGCATCTATTCATATATTTATACACTGCGCCTTTTTGCGTACCATCGTTTACCCCTCTTATCGTCAAATCGTTCTGGGTGGTGGAGCGCCCAGGACCCGGAAAGGGCAAAATACGACTGAGCCACTAAGTTGCAATGGAACCCATTCCCCAGGCCCTTTTGCTATTAAAAAACTAAGCTGGAGGTGGCAGTTCTACTGGAGAAAGGATCCGAAAAAGGCGGCCAAAGATACGAAAACCCGGACGGGCTGCTAGGGCTTCAGGCTTTTGGGGCCCCAAAAACCCTTGTGGGCATAGAATTTAGGGTTTAGGGTTTAGGGCAGGACCCTGAAACATTGTGCTATGACGCCCAAACCCGGCAAGTTGCGAACATCACCCTCTTGCCGAGGCTAAGGAGATGATTGACGGTGCCGACGGAGGTTTTTGAGTCCTGCAGCAAGACAGAGAAATGGGGGCTTCCGAAAATAGAGGTACCCTTTTGCGGGGTCCCGTTTGAGGGGGTTCTATTCCTTTTGGGGCGTAACCAGGGGGGGGGGGGTATTTTGGGAAATACCCAACTGAGTGTGGGATTCCATGGGCTTGGGACGCTAGGACACACGCAAACATTCACCTCCGTGCTCACGGTTGTTCAATGAGAGTGGAGTTGCAGTGGTCTTGGGACGTTTAGCTAGGGCAAACATTCACCTTGGTGCTCACGGTTGTTAGACTTTAGGGTTCAAGGTTTCGAGGGGTAGCTATTGCGATGCCTATAGTTGGAATCCTCGTCTGAGATGCCCCACAGGACCCCATCGCAGTCGAAGACATATGTTTCATAGGACCTCAGTTGGCTCAGGTGCATTCTCTTCTCGCTGTGCCCTAGCACAACCCTACCCGAAACTGAGCGAGCCTGGGGGCCTCGAGTAGGGATGTCTAGAGTTTACGGCTCTTTTCGTTGCAGCGGGGATGCTCGGGACAATGATAGGAAGCAAGAATGTGTCAGTGTGCCAGAACATGTGACTTTCCATGCCTACATCCCTCCCCCCCACCCTCCCCTCTCCTAAACCCTAAACCCCTAAACCCTAAACCCTAAAACCCACATCCCGGAACTCAGTTCTCCCCCGCCCCCCTCAGCGCAGCAGAAGAAGCTGAGACAACAGCCGCTGCTTCTACAAGAGTTCTAGGGTTCTAGGGTTTAGGGTTTAGGGTTTAGGGTTTAGGGTTTAGGGTTTAGGGTTTTAGTGTTTAGGGTTTAGGGTTTAGGGTTTAGGGTTTAGGGTTTAGGGTTTAGGGTTTAGGGTTTAGGGTTTAGGGTTTAGGGTTTAGGGTTTGGGGTTTAGGGTTAGGATTTAGGGTTTAGGGTCTAGGGTTCTTAAGGGGAGGGAGGGGGGTTCAAGGGGGTTAGGTACCTAGGGAGCCTTAGGGAAGCTTCGGGAGCCTTAGGGAGTATTGGGGAACCTTGAGTCGCATCCCCCCCCTGAGCCCCCCTCCCTTAAGAAGCCATAAATAAGAGACTCGCCTCAAAGACCAAAGCCCCTTTTAAGCCAACACCCCCCCTCAAGTACCCGAAGTCTCGGGGGGGTGAAGAGGACACACGACATTTGCTAAACCCCCCTGAATCCCTGGCAAGAAAGCCCAAGCTAGGGTTGTAGGAAGCCCTAAACCCGAAACCCTAACTACCCTAACTACCCTAACTACCCTAACTACCCTAACTACCCTAACTACCCTAAACCCTAAGCGGGCCGCAAGCCTGCTATCCAACCAAGACGAGGCGCACAAATTCCTGGTACTGCATGGTCTTTGCGTCGCGGATTGGTGACACGGCCATCGCATCCGCGTAGCCGCTCTTGGACGTCTC